TTTTTTTTTTTTTTTTTTTTTTTTTTTTTTTTTTTTTTTTTTTTTTTTTTTTTTTTTTTTTTTTTTCCTGGACAGAGGTTGCTCTTGAACTGTTAACTGCAAATATTTCAATTTAAAATGAAATCTATAGAAGCTATTTTGGATTTGGCACCACAAGTCGTGGCTTTTTTAGCTTCTCCGTAAAGACACAGAAATAACTCTAAGAATGCAGTATATGATGCAAAATACTGCAACTACAGTTGAATTCAGCCTCTTCAAACATTTTACAGTTTCCATTTAATAGCAATTGCTGCCATGACCGTTCCCATCACAGTATTTGCCTAATGGAATGTTTTTGAAAATGAATTCTAAAGGCGATTTAACAAAATGGAGATATGTTATAAACATGAAGTATTTTCTGAAAATATTTGGCATTTGCCTATTTATTGCTCTATGCTGTACTCTTAGGAATTAGTGTGAAAATGTATGTGAGGCTTTAATATATACAAATCTGCAAAAATTCACAGACAAAAATTAAATAGATGTTATTTGATTGAATAATAACATTTAATCTTATTCAAAAATTCAGAACTGAGAGCTATTTACAGCAATACATGACTATCTCAGCAGTTTTAAAGAACTAAATAACATCCTGTGCATTTCATTCCCAGTCTAGGTCTTTACTCAGGTTCAGACAAGGATGCAGCTGCTGTAGAAATGAAGTACTTGTACCTCATCGCCCTTCTCTCCCGCAAGCCCAGGAAATCCACGTTCACCTTTGCTTCCCTATGAAAACATAACGTTCAAACAAATATTTCCTTTAGAGAACAATGAATTTCATGTTCAGTAGGGCATTTTATGACCCACATTTAATATATATTACTATGAAGCCCTCACAGCCATAGAGCCTAAAGCAGAAAAAAAAAAAAGGCTCAAAACTACCTAAAAGCTTTAAAATATGACTCCCAGTGAGGTGAAAGGAAATGAGTGGTTTGTACCTAGCAGGCAAACTAGTCAAAAGGCCTGACGGAGACATTAACACCAACAAGCTCAAAATGCTTGCTGAAATGGAGAAAGTTCACTTTCATGGAATTAGACTCAGTGATGGAAGATATCTATATGCCAAAGCATGTGGCATTTGACCTGATGAAAGTGCAGCAGGATTTTGATTGATGTCAGTGAAACTTCAAGTCCCAGTGAAACAGCTGTGTTATTCCCATGGGAACAGAGCACAGAGGAACAGGGGGGTCCAGATAGATGTCACAGACTTGGAGGAGACATGGGAAGTTTCCTTCACCACAGGACTCTTGCGTGACTGACTCACCTAAAATGAGTCTATAGATAACAATGCACTACTTGACAGTCAAACCTGAGCTAGCTTTAAAGGAGGCAAGACACAGAAGAGCTATCCTGGTGTGGGACTCAACTCAGGCTCTTCTGCTCACTTTCCTTAGAGAGAATGCAAACTGACTCACGGTGTGGGCTGAACCACAAAAATTGTTTGAACCTTTAGGCTGCGCAGATGTCACATGGGTAGGGATCAGACAAGAAAGTCAAGACTGGCAGAGATAAGAATCTGGCCTTTTACTTTTAACAAGAGCCAAAGCAATGAAAAGTACTCTCTTCAAAACTTACCTTTGGCCCTTCTCTACCAGGGATGCCTGGAGGACCTCTTGTGCCAGGATCACCCTGTGGAACAGACAGAAAGCAAAGTGACAAATAACAATTTCTGTTATATAGATCTGATCCATGCAGATCAATTCATGCAGACTGCTTCCTTCCTACCTGTCTCACCATGCCTACATTTTACCCCAAAGCCCTCTCTTCAGTTCTTGCTCTGTTCTAAACAATATACTTGTTCAGAGAGTCTTCCTTGTTTCCCCCTCATCTCTCAAACCCTGCTAACACATATTTTACTTCATTTTAGGTAGTCCCAGACACACCTGCGTTTAGGTTTGGGCACTCCAAATTTTGTTATTTTTCAAAATACTATCTCAAAAATTCTAGACTATTTTCCCTATTTGGTATATTACTGAAATTAATGCTAAAAACTAAAAGTGGAAATGGGGTGTATTTGTGGCAATTTATGCTGTGTATTGGATGTGTTGGATAGGCACTTGCTGGCTCCTACCTCACACACCTTCAAACACTATTTCGCAAAATTCCTACAAGATACATACCTCGTGTATTTTTAGAAAACAAACTAAAAATCTACAAGAATCACAACATTTTTTTTAGGCTAGCCCCGTGGGCCAGAATTGAACCTACAGAAACTTTTAAATGCATATTTTGATTTAAAAAGCATGTTTATAGCAAATGTATATATTTAACCTCTGAAAATATTTACCTTCAGTATAGCACCCATGTCTCCCACAAGTGGCAGTGCAACCTGAAATTAAAAAAGCAGCTGCAGTTAATATTTTGCACAATGTTACTAATTATGATGTGTTCTCATTACTTCTAAAGTTTATATTGTTACAAATAGAGCTGATTATATACATATATATATAGGTTGAAGCTATTTTTTCTAATGAAAATTCAAAATTAAAAACAGGGTTTCAAATACAGTTAAATAACGCTGTCTATTCAACCTCACAATTATAATTTTTTGTTACATTTTAAAGAACTTTCTTAAACCATGACAATATCATAACTCCTGAACATACTAATATTTTTGGTTTTGTTGCATATCAGCAACTACTTAACACAACTGGAAAATGTCACAGACTATTCTCACTTGATCATCTTCAATTGTTTTTCCTTCCCCTTTCTCCTAGGCTTTGACTCTACCATCAACTGCAGTGCAAATTCTGGAGATACCAAAGATAATTTCCATAAATTAGCTCAGATACTGGAAATAATCCAGCTACAGCAACATGACCATTTTGTCCTGTCTTTAAATGTTAAGAATTAGTGCATAAGTCTGTGGTGCCACTGCCAGATTGGGTACTAAAGCTAACCCATTTAAAGATCAATCAACAGGATTACACTTCCTGCAGCATGTCTCAGACTTTCAAGACCTGCCATTAAACTCATATTTAAAGATTCCCTGCAAAAACTCATTGCCCTTGTTATGATCAGCTTTACTCACAAATGGAGTCTCCAATTACCAATGCTTGTTTCTTCTGGCAATTGCTAAATAAAAAAATGCCCTGGGCATACTATAAAATTAGGCACATTCAAAATATATTAACTGTTTTTGTTCAGTCTGTTTCAATAATTTCCATCTCAAAAAACAAAATGTAATCACTTTTGTAGCATATTAGAAAAAACTGCCAGTTAATAGCAATGTGTTTCAAATATTATCTCGGGAGACACACTGCTGAACATACTTAACCATAAACATAATTGGGAACACACCACTTAGAGGGTAGCACCCTCAACCTTGAAAGCAGGCTGATGAGTTTTCCAGGGTGAGACATCACCACCTAACACACCTAAGGACATGACTAGGTAAGGTGTGAAGTTCATCCTTTGCACAGAGGTAAACTGCATACAGACAGTGTCACCTGCTCTTAAAAACCTGTAACAAGACTTTAAAACAATTACCATGTACTTTTCTCCCTTCTTTTGACAAAATTTTACAGCTAGTCAGGCTATGACAGTGTTACTTGATGGTCTTCCTGCTGGACTACAGAATTGTAATTCCCCCAGGCTCTCCTCTTTTCTAGCATTCTCATTTTAGCTGCTATATCATTTTATGGTACAGGACCCCAAACCCTTAGTGTGAAAGGTGCAAGAGCACACTAGGTACAAGAGTAAGCCTACCACGTTTGTGCCATACAGCTCCTCTGCTCTCTATGTATGATGAGTCCAGTCCAACTGCACACACACTTAAGAGTCATAACTCTGCGTGCCAAACTCTAAGTGTATGATATATAGCAGGATTTTGAAAATGTTAAAATGGCCTTAATTCTCCAGAATCACTCTTGCTTGCCACATTGTTCTTTAAAAAAATGTTCTTTCCAAAGAGAAGAGTATTTCAAGACAGCAAAAGACAATAATGCTCCTGTTAGTAAGTTTTATAATTTAGATCTATTTAATAGCAGCATCAAATATTTTACCTAAATTTAGTTTACAATGTGCCTTCAAGATGTATTCTACTTATGGATTTTGTTTTTTCTTATTAAGCACTTCATGCTCATCTACGTCAACTTAAATCTTGTTGACTTCAGATGGCCATTGAATTTTGATTATATCTTCAAAAACCAAGCAATCTTTCCCAGTCCAATTTCAGAGTTTATATCTATCTACCCTAATAAAATTAAATCACTGACAAGAACTGAGCATGGGAGAGACCTCTCTTTCCAAGTCTGACAGTTCTGCTGATAGATACTCAGATCCATAATTTTTAATAAGCATCAGCTACATGGCAAGTAATTCTAAGTGTTTTTTGCTTGCTTACAAAAACATCATGAGGACAGTCTCAAAGTTTTACTGAGGCAAAGGTATGTAACATGACTGTTTTCCTGTCTTTCCCAGGAAAGTATTTCCACTTTGTCATTCATATCACTGGTCCTTCTAGATTCGTTATGCTATTCACCTCCTTTAAACTTAAAACATTTGCACAAGAGCAAATGCACAAACTTTCTCTCTATACATACAGGATCACCTGGAGGACCTGGTAGTCCTGGCTTTCCATCTCTTCCTGGAGTGCCCTAGAAACAAATGCAAAAATTGATGGTCTTTAATCATTGATGAGGGACACAATACTTTTTGTTGTATATATAGAAAACTGTCACTTACATTAATTCCAGGGGTACCTGGAGTTCCTGGTAACCCTGGAGGTCCCCTAGGGCCCTAAGAGCAGGAAAGGTAATTTAGGACATAAAAATTCTTTTGTTGTAAAATTCTTAAATTAAATCAACGCTTTTTATATTAAAGACAAAACTTATGCCCTACCTGCACACCTGCTGATCCAGTTGGACCTATAGGACCCTGCAAGAAAACTCCAAATAATCAGTAGTTACACTTTCTGGGATAAAGGAGATGAATTTCATTAAAAAATACTGAATGTGGGATATAGGTGCAGTTTTCGTTGTGAGAAAGACTCCCTCTAAGGTCTGGCTTTAAATCCAAATGTAATTTTGTCAAAATTAAAGAATTCAAGACTTTGCTAAGGACCATTTTTAAGGGCAAGCAGTTCCAAAAATTAATGATTTGTGGTGAAACTTGTTATTTAGCCAGGAGATTCCTAAGAAAAGCTGATGAACAGTTGAATAAAAACAAATTTAGATATAAATGGATAATTTAAAAAATGTAGATACAAATAGATAATTTTTAAAATTCAGATTTGAAAATATTTTGACTGAAAAAATATTTTTAAGGGTTATTTTAGATTAAGAACTCACTGTGAATCTCTGTTCACCTTTCACAAACATTTTCTCTCTATACCAGAGTACTGTCCATAAACTGGAATGTATCAGCTCTTCAGTCTGGACTGAAGAGAGATCGTCTTATTCACTGGAGTAAAACTCATGTAGCACCCAACCATCTACACCACCAATATCAGGAAATTTTTTTACTGAATACTCTGAAGACACAGCAGAATGCTGTATTTAAAGGCAATAGAAAGAAAGAAACTTGGGAAACAAGCTGAGTAACTGAGACAGTTATTGCTGTACAAGTTATTCAGTATGAATGCCTTAGATAGACTGTATCAAATTGCTCATATTTGAATTTAAACTGCACAGCAACACGTGAAACAAGCTGGGAGTTGTGAATCAAGTCAGAAGGGAGTTCACAGCATGGCTGTTTAATACGCTTAGTTTGCTTACTGCAGTTTCACAGTGATGCACAGCAAGAAGCCCAGATCCTGGGCATTGGCATACTTACTGGTGATCCCTGAATGCCTATTCCAGGGGGCCCCATCTCCCCAGGTGCTCCCTGTACACCAGGTAGTCCTCTTTCTCCCTGTGAAAGGTCCAAAGCTTTCCATTACAACAAATCTGAAAAGGTAAACTACCATTTTGTATTTTTATTTTTTATTTTTATTTTCTTTTTAAGAAACGGAAATAATATATTTTGTATACCTTTGGTCCCCGTGGACCGGGGTTTCCAGGAACACCAGTGGGACCCTAAAAAGACCAAAAACAAAAGAAAAAATAGGGGAAAAAACCAATTATGTTTTAAAATCCAAGAGAGTGGCTGAATTTTACTGCCAAAATTAGTCATCCTTCAGAAACAAACTATGAAAATTTACATGTCTTCCTTGTTAATACCGCTGTCATTAGGAGCATGTGTGAGTCTCGTACTCTTTTTAGACCGTATTTTAGTGCACTTATATATGTACTGTAACATTTATTTCCAGTGCGAAATTACATTCAGAAAAATACTTGCTTTGTGGTTTTAAACTGAGAGTAGATGAGATGTTAGAGAGACATTCTTTACTATGAGGATGGTGAGGCACAGGAACAGGTTGTCCAGAGAAGTTGTGGCTACCCCATTCCCAGAAGTGTTCAAGGCCAGGTTGGATGGGGCTTTGAGCAGCCTGGTCTAGTGGAAGATGTCCCTGCCCATGACAGGGGGTTGGGACCAGACAATCTTTAAGGTCCCTTCCAACCCAAACCATCTCATGATTTTACTATTTCTTTCTATGATTGCACAGTGACAATTCTTTAACAGTTGCCTCCAAGAAATAAAGTCAGAAAAGCTTTTTCAGATTATGAACTTACTGGTGTTCCAGGTAGACTTGGTCCAGGAGGCCCCATATCACCTTTTGGACCTGGATGTCCAGGTGGTCCCATAATCCCACCAGGGTCACCCTACAAAATAAATTTGAATCACTAATTGAAATGTGAGAATTTTCTCCTATAAAAAACCTCTAAATATTATCAAGGTTATCACAGAATGTGCCAGTATTTGAGAAGAAATAAAGAAATAAAAAAAGCACTGATATTTTCCTTTAAAAAGTTGCAGAAGAAGAACAGGAGGCATGGACTACACAACCCTCAACTGTAACTAGCATTGTCTTGGTTTTCCATGCTTGCAATGCAACTGATCTACATTTCTTGGTCCCCAGGCCCCTCATACACAGGTTTTCATTAAACTCTGACAATTAATTCACAGCAACAGGTGGAACAACTCAGTCTCTCCCCAGCTATCTACCACTAGTGCTAAACCCTGGGTCCTCACTGTACTCCTACACTTCTCACATCAGTGCATGCAGTGTCTCTTGTCTCTAACTCCTGCTCCTTACAAAAGTGAATTTGGGCTTTATATTATGCTGTCCTTCGTCTTTTGCATGCTCTTGCAAAATCTCTGTGATTTTTTTTCTGAATCCACTACTTCTCATTTTGTAAGATGAGTAGATTTTTGCCATTGTTACAGTTATTATCTTCTGTCTGTCTTCTAGCTCACTTTTTTTTTTTTTTTAAATTAATACTGGATTTTATTAGTTTCTCTTGCACCCCCCAATGTATAAATACCGTAACACATCACATAGTGATGTATCCTCTTTTCTCCCCTTCTCTACATTCAGTACATAAAATTTTTAACTCTTGCTGATGCAGCTGAATTGTAACTAAGGGATTCATACAAAGCAAAACACAATGTCATAAAGAGACACAGCCCTGGCTTGCATCTGAGACAGTGTAGCTGCCCCAGTGCCTAGATGAATATGTCTGACTGTGAAGTGGGATTTTACACATTAGTCCGGGTAGGGCACTACACTGAAATGGGTTTCTGTAGTCAGGACCTGAACTGACATTTCTGCACTGTACAGATTCAATGCAAGGGTGCAGTGCAACCTTCTTGAAATATTACTTAAATTATAAATCTGAAGAGAAACTGGGTTGCCAAACTGGCCTGCAGCATCTTCAAGAGACAGACAGGAGGTTGCTGCTGGTACATTTTAAAA